TAGCAGTTGATGAGTTTGTGGTTTGAGATAGCTTGCCAGTTTATTTTAATAGATCACAAAATTGAGAATATGCCCAAACACACATTTCACAAACATTTTCATACGAATAGTTTGAGCACGCTTCAAAGCAAGTGCTATTTAGACAAAGGGAGAGAGTCCACAAGTCTCTCGGGGCTTGCTGTTTGCCTCCACAGGCTCCAGACTACAGTGCATTTGTTTATGCTGGGCAGAGCTCCAGCCTGAAGGAAGAGCTATTTGTTTCTGATTGAGCCCTGACTGTGCAGGGCCTTGAAAAGAACAGAGTAAGTTGCTTTCTCTGCCCCTAACATACAATCCAAGACCTATGGAAGGACAGAATGCAAAGACAAGAAAGGCAGTGAGCCCAAGGTATAAGTGACATCTCCAGCCTCATCCCCCTTCACTCCTTTGAGCTGCTGGAGCTGCACAGCCACAAAGATGGACAGCGCTACTGGCCTTCAGTCCCTGCCAGTCCTGAACCAACATAGACCCCACACAGTAAAAGTGAAATAGTCCACCCCAGTTCTACCAGTAACAGAACAGTTTTCTGGGATTTTTCAGTCCAGCTACAAGAAAGGAACAGATTGCTTTTGGCAGGTGGCAGTTCCTGCCAAGAGCTGGAGTTTGGGGCTCAGCAGCAGAAACAGCCTGAGTAACTGCTTGCAGACACTTACTCCAAAGACTGCCTCCAACTTCATTTTTAGAAGTGGTTTAAGTTGGACCACAAAGACAATATTTGTGTAGAATAAATGTCCATGTGAGGTTGGCATATGAAATAGTTTAACTTCAAGTTCACTCCCTAGCTTGTTTTGCAGACAAGTTGTTAACTACTTAAGCTCCTGAAAAAACCTAAGCAGTTTAATTTGTGTTCAACCTCTACTTTTCATAGAAGAATCAGTGGAAAGCTGAGAGAGCTACAGCTGAAGAAAAAAAAACCCTGCCCTTAATGAAGAAATTAAATCCCTTACGCCACAGTTTTTCTTCTTTTGAAGAGGATTTTCCACCAAATCTTCCACATCCATTTTTCTCAGTCGCTGAGAAGCAAGCACATGAGGTCATTCCACTGTTCAGTGATTTCCTATCTATCCAGTATAAATCACTAATGTTTATCTGAAAAGCCTACAAACCCCAAACACCTAAACTTGTAAATGCTACAATATAAAAGGTGCAGAGACAGAAGCCATTCCCATTGTGAAAACAAACCATCTACGTGCTCCACTTTCAGTGCAATGGGAAGGTTACTTTAGAACTTGGTGAGTGTGAAGGTGGGGGGGAATAGAAGCCAAGGGGTGATCCCAAATGTACCTCTTTGGAGGTTTGGATGATGGTTACAAGCTTCTGAAGTTCCATATATTCAGCAAACAGATTCCTACAGGTCATTTCGTAATGTTTGGTAGCCTCAGAAGGCCTGGGCAAGTGCTCCTCACAGGCCTGAAAGAATTGCAGCTATTTGAAAGAGATCTTGAAATGAAAAAAAAAAAAAAATCCCATGGGAGGATGGAGTAAAGCAAGAATCAGTTTCCTCGATCCATGGTTAAAAATCATCTTCCTCATAGCCCCTTTATATTTTTTTTCTATTGCAGATACAGAGGAACAAAGAAGCAAAATGTCCAATCTTATATGTATGATAATGGAAGTAACTGTGTAATTTATGTATATTGTCTTCCATAGAGTGTGCTTTAAAATAAATACCTGAAAGGGGAAGCCTGCAGTGCAGACAAAGCACAAAAAACCCACAGCAGGTGGAGTCACTTACCCTGTTCTTTTCCCCAGCCCTGATCAGACAGAGGGATGGGAAGTTTCTCATACCTTTAAATTCTATTTGAGTGGCAAGTACCTGTTTGAGTTGAGACATTGAAATTCCAGCCCTTGCAGAAACTGAATACTACAGACAAGGGACTTTTTTTCAATATCCATAGTCTTCTGGGTATTGTATTTGGAGACTATGTACAGAAGGACTTTGTAGACACAGCTGTGTGAGAGCCATGTGTAGTCTTCCTTCTTAATTCTTTTCCATGGGCACCTGCAAGTACCTAAGAAGGTATTGCCTTTTCCCTCTGCTGGGAAAGCCACATGCTCCCTCTATGTTCTCCAACAATCTACTCAGCTTTTTCCCAGAAACGGACTTGCCCCTTGGTTAACTGCACCATTCCATCAGCTCCTCTAAAATTGCTATAATTACTAAGTGGGAATAAGAAAACCTTGATAACATCCTGCAGAGTGACTTCTGGTTTAATTGGCTCATCATCCAGTTTCAACATGAGGCACAGCAATTTCTCCAAAGGACCACTCAGTTCTCGCTCCAGTTGGCTGTCAATTCCCCAGTCCAGGGCTTCATAGATCACCACTCCCAAGTATTCCAACAGCTGCAGACAGAGACCGAGAAGCAATGCAGCACAAACTGGAGAATGCCACAGCTCTCAATTCCCAGCCACGCATGTACCCTCCTCTGCCCCATCTCCTGAGCAGGCCTTTACTACAGCAGGATTATATCTGCACACATAATGAAGGTAAAGACACAAGCTTACCTTGTCCTCTGACTGCTGAATGCTGCCAACATCTGGAAGGGAAAAAAGAGGGTTGGGGGAGAAAGACAACTGCTTAGGCATTGATAAACAACAGCTTTTAGAACCTCTTTCAAGAAAGGGAAACAGGAAGAATCCTTGATAATAAGGAAACTAATTCCGCTGGCTTAAGTCTGTCCCACGTGGGGAAAGTAGGCCTATATTTGGGAAAATCGTATGTTGCTGGAAAGCAACATGAGATGCTCTTCTTACTGTGAGCATTAGCCTCAAACTAATGGCTGCTGCATTTTTGGTTTTGGTGGTTTTTTGTTTGTTTGGGTTTTTGTTGTTGTTGTCTGCTAATTGATATCTAACCACAAGGAAGGGATGGGATCTTTGTCTTTATCGTTAATGACCCACTCTAATCCCTGAAGAGTTAGCCTAGCACTGACCTCTGTGGCAGCAGCCCAACCAAGCCGTACGTTACACAGACTTGTTGCCACTTGCTGGCTGCACACAGTGACAGTAAAAGGGAAGCTGCAACCATAAACCCATTGTGAAAGTTACCATAACACAGGTAAGAAGATGCAGGTTGGAAGACAAACAGAGCAGGACATATAATAAAGCTTCAGATGACTTATTTCAAATAAAGTAAGTGGTGGAAAGCTTTTATCCCAGCTATTCCCTGGAACCAAATGACTCGATAGAGCACGACTAGAGAAATTAGTAGATCATACATCTGTATAACCATTCATCTACAGTCCTCTGAAATAAAGTATAGGAAGGAGAATAGCTTCATGACAACATACAGACAGAGGAGAGGGGAAAAAAAACCAAATATAACCAACAAAAAAAGCAGAGGAAAAGAAAATTTCCCTACTTTGTCCCCACATTTCAGCCTATTAAAAGAACAGCCCTTGGCATCTTCAACTACCTACGCTCTTACCGGACTTGTGGTAGACCTTGAAGGAAGCAGTACCATCAGCGTGGATCAAGATGCTCCCACAACCTTTTATGAATACAGAATGGAGTGGTGGGCACAACTCCCCAGCCAACTGCTTCATTTTACAGCAACACTGAAAGCAGATGGCCCAGGCTTGTTCCTCACTTATAGGATGTTCAAAACACCTCAGAAGCTCAGCTAGAGAGACCTTTGTGATCCTCTGCTCACACCTTAGCGATTCCATTTTTACTTTCACTTCCACTCTTAGTCTAGGAAGCTTAACATTCCCCTTCCCAGGACAGGCAAGTGCTCATAGCAGCCTTTTATCAGTTCTGCCTCTTGGTCTGCTCTTATCTCTCTTCCCTACAGGTGCAACCATTAATGCCAATCTTTGCTCTATCTTTTTAAAAGGACATCACTTTAATCTGTATTTGTACAAGATTCTGTAAAAGAAAATAGAAAGCATACAACCAAATGGAACCAGGAGAAGATAAGACTATACAAAAAAAATGTGCCGGATTTAGCTCCATTGTTCCTAACAAATATCTTAATTGGAGTACCAGTGCTGGCAGTTAGGAAAGTTCAACTACAGGCAGAAAGGGAAAGGGGCGGGAAATAATGTCTTTACTTGGGGGAGGAGTACTCATAGAAGACCACAAAAATTCAATCCATTTGGTGGGAAACTATTCTAACAACACTAATAAATAACAGCAATCAATTCCATGGGGCACCTGCATCCACCACAGGACCCACTTCTGCCTGGCTTTGGGCCCTTTGTCCCTGCCATGGCAAATCCCAGGAGACGGGACAAACGCATGCAGGGACCAGGATGGCCAGGTGGGCACCTGGGGTATGGGCAGCAAGGCCTGTCCTTGTTCAGAGTGTTGATATCACAGAATCACACAATCAACTGGGTTGGAAAAGACCTCTGAGATCATCAAGTCCAGCCAAGTCAACTAGACCGTGGCATGTCCAGTCTTTCCTTGAACACCTCCAGGGACTGTGACTCCACCACAGCCCTGGGCAGCCCGCTCCAATGCCTAATCAGGGTTTTTGTGAAAAAATTCCTCATAACGTCCAACCTAAACCTCCCCTGGCAGAGCTTAAGACCATGCCCTCTCATCCGGATGGCAATTGCTACTCGTGTGAAGCCGATCTCCCAGATTATTTTCCACTTTTAGGGGTGTGTGTGTGACACGGGAGGGCGCAGTTGCAAGGCCCTTGTCTGGGGTCACCCCTGGGTTCGTCTGCAACGCCTCACACGAGGAGCTCAGCGGCTGCTGCGCTGGCTACCAACAGCCCCAGCTCCCCAGGCTGACACTGAAGAATTGCGAGGTTTGGAAAGCGTGATTAACACTCATAATTTACAACTATTCCTCTTCGCGCTTACAACATTTGGGAACGCAGTGCACCACCGCCAGGCCCCGACCTCTGCCTCGCCCCCGCGGGGTGACTTGGTCCGGCCCGCGGCCCTCCCCCGGCCCGGCCGGGATGGTCCCGCCCAGGTCGGGGCCTGCTCCCTGGTGCGCGGCGGGAACATGGCGGCGCCCGGGGCGGCGTGGGCTGTGCCGTGGGACCGGCGGGATGTGCCGTGCAGCGGGCTGGACGCGCCCTGGAACCGGCTGGACGTGCCCTGGCCCACGAGCAGCGCCACGGTGGCGTTGGCGGCCGAACACCCCGCAGGTCCCGGCGCTGTGCCGAGAGGGGCTGGGGGGAGGGCGGTTTGAAGGCGCTTGCGGCGGGCGGTGGGGGCCGGGGGGCCGGGGCGGCGGCGGCGGGCCCTGGGGCGCTGCCCGGCGCTGAGGCCGTGCCCGGCTCCCCCCGCAGTGGGACGGCTGTCGGTGCTGCGGAGGCGGTGCGACACGGCCGGCAGGCGGCTGTCGGGGCCCGGGCTGGCCGCCGAGGGACGCGTCCTGCGCGCCCTGCTCTACGTGTTCCACAGCAGGCTGCTCCGCCACCGCCCCTACCTCGCCCTGCAGCAGGTGAGCGGCCGCGCTGTGCAGCCAGTGCCATTTCCACTTCTCCACCGACATGTGGTGTCTTGTGCTCACGCTGAGGCCTGAAGGAGGTACAGTTACGTACCTTTGAATGCATGAGTAATACACGGCCTTGGTTCTCAATGAATTGGAATAGTGGGAGGGGGGAAGAATAGTCCTAAACTGCTCTATTAAGTACTTACTGGTTTAGCATGAAAAGTAAACTCCTTACTCGTTTTCCAGGAAAGGGATTGTCAGTATCTTCAAATAATTGTTTTGAATCAGAGTAAGAATGGTCCTTACCTTCTTGATTTGTTCATGTGTTTTTGTTCTTGACAGCCAATACCAAAGCTAATTGTATACAGCAGGGGAAACCACGCAGCACCAGTTAACCATGACCTACTCCAGTCCTTCTCTTAATTCTGTTTTTATAGCAGAGCGATGAACGGCAGATATAGGAATATCCTAGAACATTTCATGACACAAACCTGCAGTTTGTGCTGCTAAACTGCTAAAGGGAAGGTGTCATTTAACATAGTGATGGTTCTTAGACCAAGGCACTCCCACTCTCAAAATACCAGTCAAAAGAGTTTTCTTTTTTCCTAGGTAGAACAATGTTTGAAGCGCCTATGGAAAATGAATTTGGTGGGCTGCCTTGGAACTCTTGTAGAACTGATTCCTAAGTAAGTGTCGTGATCCTTTATTTTATACTATCTGTTAACTCAATCTGCAGAGCTAAAGGAGGGGGATGCTACATCGTAACCAACTCCTCATCCTTTTATCAATCCAGGAAAGATACATCTGAAGCCCATGCAGATTGCTTGGTTCCCAGCCAGCCCATGCTGGAAACAGTGGCTCTGAAGGTACTGGGAGGCTGCAAGCTCGTACTCCGTCTGTTGGACTGTTGCAGTAAAACTTTTCTGTATCCTTTTTTCATCGTAAAAATATTCTTACAGTTCACTATTAGCACCTCATAACATCCAAAACTAGGTCTGCTGGAGGCCCTGTATTGCTGATGGACTCAACTGTGCAATTCATACATGCAACTTGAAGTTTGTTTGATAGCCAAACACCTTATTTTCAAGTTATTATGTAGGAACCTTAGGCTCTTGGCTGGCTGCTGTTCCAGCCTTGAGCAATTCAAAATTTGCATACTCATCTCCCAAATTATTCCAGGATATCACCCTGCGAATTGCCTCTAGTTGGTGTGTTCAGCAAGTCTCATTACACGCTGTTTATTTTTTTATCCTTAACGACTGTAATCTTCAGCTTGTCCATTAAACATCTCTGCTCGAAGGAATTCATACTTCTGAACACGGTGGCTTTGGGGCTGTTGAGCCGACTATGGTTTGTGTGTTCAAAAGTCTGTCTTGTTTGTTGTCTGTCTGTTTGATGTGCCTGTCAGGGAGAAGGGCTTGTAATTAGGCCTTTCTGCTAAGTGAGCTTTGTTCATTTGGGAGGAGGAAGAGAGGGTGCCTCTCCATTCTTTTGGACTTGCTTTGTAGCACCTGAAGAGTTGTACAAGTGGAGAGAGATTTCTTACATGCTTTTATGAAAGGCTTTGTTCTTGGATCGTAGCAAACTTTATGTAGCACTAATGAAATCGCAGTGTTAGTGCCAGCCTGACACAAACACTGACACCTGGTACTCTGCAACAAGCAGTAAGTCCTGCCTCATGCTGAAATGGAAAGGCTGGGATAAACATGTTCTACAACACTGCTGAGTTTTCCAGGGAAACTGCTGTTCTGGTCTCTCTCGGTACAGGAAAATAAGTGGTGTCTGTAGCTGAGGGACTAATATCATTGTGTAGAAGAACTCAGTAAAATGTTCTCTGGCACAAGAAATCTTTATCTTCAGGAAACATAGAGCAGGCAATTGTATGGCATCAGCCAAGTTGGTACAGGGTGCTTTTGGGGGAAGACCTCATGGCAAATGATTTGGATGTGACCTCAAAACATGATGTGACCCACGTGTGGCACTCTAGGGAAGCAGAGAGGCTCCTGATTGGGAATTTACTAGTCAAGTTACTCCTAGATTCCAATCCTTAATGGTTCCTTAAGGCTCAGACTTAAGGAAAGCAGGGTGATGGAGTGTAAAAAGCTAAACTCGCACTCAGGGAAAATGGGGAAAGGGCAGCTTGGAATCTCTTCTGTTTGAGATTAAGGTAGTTTTTCAGTGGGCATAAAGTTTTCCTAGAGGAGACTCCATACCTTTTTGTCCTGTCTCTTCAGGATTCAGTACAGGTGTGTATTGCAGACCCTCATGTCCTTGTATGACGTCTTGTCAACAACACTTCATCTGGTATCTGAGACCCAACAGATGCCTTACATCAAGGGATTTACCTTCCCTTCTGATATCAGTAACTTCCTTGGAGTTAACCTATCTTCTGAGATGAAGAAGCAAGAGGCTAAAATGCTTACAACAAAAAAATCTACCAGCTGGCTGAAGAAGCTCTTCCCAGCAATGCCAGAGGCAGTATCAGAGGTTGGGAAAAAGAGACATTTTGTAACCTGTACAAGTGACGTGACAAACCACAGCATCCCATGCCCCATGGACATTGGAGAGACAGTTCTGGTGCCCAGAGCCAACAGAGGTAAAGCCTTGTGCCACAGTGCAAATGGTTTCTGACATCTCAGAGACTGATCACAGCTTTTGTCCAGCAGAGCCAAGCACTTCTACCACAGCGTGGTTCTAGTGCAAGCTCCCCTCCTCTGTCCTTAGGAGAAGAGAATGCTGCATGTAGCTTGCCTTTTTAAAGCTGTGGATAATGTCAGCATTGTGATTTTTGGGGGGGGTTGTTTTAAAGATAATACAGCCTGGAGAGAAGCAGATAATGAATGCAGTATACAGGTCCTGAAAACAGTTATTTTTACTTTCCTCCTTTTGCATAGATAAGGACAGTGACAAGCTAAGAACACTGTCTACAGTCCATACAAGAGTAGGCAAGGCTATAAGTACAGGATGCAGGTATCCTGTGATTGCTGGTTCTGGACTGTGCCCAAGACTTTCTCTGTACTGAGGGCTATGGCCAGTGACTGCAGGCATCCAGGTGTTTGTGAGAAGCTTTTACCTGCTAAGTTTTTGCAGCCATCTGTAAATCTCTGCATCGTCTTCATCCCTTGCCAGCTGCAGTGCAAGATGAGTGTAGTCCCCTTGAGCTGCCTGAAAATGCTGAGTAGAGGTGTGAGCCTGCTGAGAGCTCGGTGTGGCAAAGCAGTGCAGCATCTCTGTGCAACAAAGACATAAAACTATCTCAACACTGTAATGGGAAATCTCTCTCTCTATAGGGAAGCACCTGGGGATTGATATGAAGAGCTTGCTTAAGCCATCCAGACCTCCAACACAAGAGGTTTGTACAGTATCTTTTTACACACTATTTTTCAGTTTTAGAGACCCTAACACAATATCCCTGATTGAAAGTGTCCCTTTCCCTGCCTTTATTTTTGCTTGTCAGGGTATAAACATGGCATCAACACCTTTTAAAGCAAAGTTGGCACCACCTTCCTCTCATGTAGCAAAGTCCCAGCATACTGAATCTCTTGTACAGATGGTCCAAACAGCTGCATCATTTGGGGAGCTGTCAGAGGCACTCAGAAAAGCTATTCTGTGGTGCAAAAACAATAAATTCAAATCAGAAGCTTATTTTCTGCGCAACAAGTTGTTGAAAAGCAACCGGCTGCACCACGTGGAGGCTCAAGGATGCAGGTAGTTCTTGCATGGGTGTGGGATTTCTGGATGTAACACTTAACATTTTAATATGTATATTGCTACAGTATAGTGAAACACAGTGGTCTAAGCCGTTCTTTTAAAACTTGGGATCACTAGTTCAGGTTAGTGGATGCTCTGACATAAGCGTTCTGCTTAGCATCAGTCACTTGTGAAAGGATGTAAAAGGCTGACAAATGCACAAATACATAACAAATGCAGCTTAAATAATCTGCATGTTTAATGGTAACAGTTGCATGATGCTAGGGTTGTCTCCCTTCAGATTTCCTTGACTACTGTTGTACAAGGTGCTGTTATGTTTCCTTGGTATGACAAGGAAAATGAGAAAGGCTAGTAGCCAAATCTCTCCAAACTGTAATTGAAGTATCTTCACAAACTTCAGTATCTTATAAAGCTATGTTTTGTGCACCTTCCTCCTTTAAAGCTTGAAGAGAAAACTGCGCAGTGTCAAAACATCTGTCCGTAAATACCTCTTGTATGGGTCCCAACACACACGCTGGCCAAGGCAGTACCTCGGGGCGTGGCTCTGTCCAAGGAGGATCAAATCGTCTGCACGCTTGAAGAGAGCTCTGAAGACTGTTCAGCAGAAGCCTTCTGAGCTTTCTGGGGTCTGTGACACAACTGCATCACTCATCCTCCCTGCCTACCAGGATGGGCCTCTGAGTCAGAAAGAACGTTCTGATGCTGATACAGCCCCTGTCAGACTAAGCACAGCAGGGACCCCTAAGCAGCTGCTACTCAAAGGAAACCCCAGCCCTGTGTGTAAAGAATCTACTGAGAACATGGATATTGATTCTATTTTTGCAGCAATAGGTGTCTGATCCTGGATTGAAGAAGTAATTCCAATTTTTTTTTAAATTTTTTTTACAGTAAAATGCTCTGAACTCTAATGGTGTCTTAGTAACTCAGATCCTGAATTCTGCTAAGAAAGTAGCAACCATTTTATTATGTTTTTGTAAAACAGCTTTTTTTAATGGGTGTTTTTTTATATTTTAAGGGTGTTCCAAACAGCTGAATAGTCTTCATCCTTTTACCTGGCCTTGTCCATGAGCAGTGACTTTGCTACCCTTACTCAGTGACCCTTCTCTATTGCTCGACCACATATTAAGTGCTGCTGTCAAATCCACAGCGCAATTAGTTACCATCCACAGCAGAAGGCTGCAGCTGAGCACTGCTGCTTATTACAAAAGACTTTCAGACACTTTTCCAAGTCTGTTACACCCTTCTTTCTGTGCTGCTTGTACAGGGGACAGCCTTGGCATGCAATATCATTGCTATTTCAGCGTTTGTTACTTTTGTCCTGAAATGAAGAGTTAGCTGAACCTACTGCTTTTCCAGAAAAAGGGAAAGCACAGGTCTGGTCTGCAACAGTAAACTCCTGACTGATGAACATGTTTCTCACTGTCCCAAAATCTTTTTAATACAAATGCAGTTTTTGTCTGCTTGGCAGTGTAAGGTACAGGTATTCCACAGTGTTAGAACAAGCAATGGGTATAGTAGTTTCTGCCAGGCTTTTGCTTGGAAATAATTCCCCTGAGCATGATCACCAGGAAATATTAAGGAGAAAAATTCTCAGAATGAAGAACAGGAATCTGGTTTGGTAGAGAGCAACTGCTTAACAGGGATTAAGGAAAGGCTGTAAGTGCAAGTAAATCAGGAATGGGCTAAGTTTAATTTCTTAGGCTTAAGAGCAGAAGAAAATAAAAGAGCTGTGCCCACTAGGACAGAAATAAAAATAACCTTCCTAGCCCATTAAGTGCCAAAACCCCTCTATTGTGCACCTTGTGTGAATTGATCTATGTAAGTTTAGTTATAAGGAGTAGGCACAAACTTAAAATGTTTTATTCAAAGAGCATATACAGAGCAAAAAGCAGAACTTTTAGAGTAGTCTGGGCTTGAAGCCAATGTCCAGATAAACCAAGATCCATTTTCTGGGTTCCCTCTCACAGGAGTACCCAGTGATAACTGAAATAGTTGTACAGAATCACGGATCATCGGCCCTCTAGGCATCTGATGCAACAAAGGCCTACTTCAAACAGACTTACTGCCATTACAGGAATTTTTCATTTTCTTAAATGGTATAAAAATACCTAAGTATACCACATACAATCAGATAACATTTCAGCTGCTTGAATAGTTCTCAGAAAAAGCTGGAAGTGAGGGCACACACCCCAGCAGTGACCTCCATCCCGAATAACCCCTCCAAACAACACACGATATGATCTTCCTTCTTACTGGGCAGCTGCCATTACTTGGGCAGCCCAAATGAAGCTCCAGTGCAGCTTGTGCACAGAATCAAGATCCGTAGTTTGCTTCATCGAAGGCCTTTCTTGCTCTTTTCAGTTCTTCATTCATAGTAAGGAGGTCTTTAACCCTGGCAAACTTCCGGGGGTCCTTGCGAATTAGAAAGACAATGTCCTCCACCTGTACACGGCCCTGCCGCCCAATCGACATGGCCTTGTGTGTCTGTCAGAGGAAAAAGGGAAAGTCAACAGGGTTACTTTTTTAAGCTCTCAATTCCACTTTATTTCCTTATAATTTTATAACAAAGTAAGCAACTGCAGGACCTGGGCACCATCATCCTAGTCACAAGAGAACTTGCCAGTAAACCATGGACTCACTGCTGTTCTGCTGTCCCCAGCTCCCTGTCACACCTACCACTTACCAATATATATACATATATATATATGTATACCACATAATGGTATCAAAGCTAAAGCTAGATTACAAGTAGGATGCCCAGCCTGCAAAACGCCTGAAGACCAGGCACAACTTGGAAGCAATGTGAAGTAACCCTATCAGAGGACAGTGTAGGGTATTTTGATAAGAAAAGGCAAGGGCAACCTTTCAAAAGAAAGGGGAATGCTTGGATACTTTAAAGAGTATCCAAATACCTGGAAGAATAATGGCTTCAGGAACCAGAATACATTTCTTTTGTAGCAGAGCTACTTTCCCATCCATGTAAAGACACTCGGTCAACACAAAAAGTCGACAGATTTTTCAAAGCTGAGCCTTGCTTTCTGTCAGCTGCACATACAGCGATGCCACAGTGAGCCCCAAAGTCAGATGTGAATTTTGCCTCCTACAATACTTAGTCTAACCTTTACTTAAGGACTTCAGACAGCGTTCTAAATCCACATGGAGCAAGATGCATGAATTTTGCCTTTCTCCTGGAAAAGCAAAATCCAAGTTTAGCTTTCTCCTATTAGCACCATGAGTTTGGGGCCTGGCATAATGTAGTATTTGAGTCAGAGGTATTCTTCAGAAGGCTAAAATCCTCATGAGGATGTTTTGACCATGCTGTCTAGAGCTGACTTACCATTTCTGTGATAAACTCTATTACCAGGTCCTCAAGAATGTCCACGGATTCTGTGTAAGGGTTCTGGTCGTCCCCGAATCCATACATCATGCATCTTACTGCACAAAGAAACACTGAGTGTGAGGCTCCTTTCACCCATTCAGTAGTGTCAGCAGCACACACCTAGTCAGAGCTCACCAACCTGCACATTCCTGCTCCAGGTGGTACAGGAATGTAACTTGTCTGTTAGACAGGGCAATTCTTGAGCAAACATACAGGAAATAAACAGAAGCCAACAAAAGCCAAGGCTGTACATACAGAAAAGCACATCTGATGACGAGCTCTTTAAATATTAATTTAGCCTGCAAAGCGCTGCACACTGACTTACACAGCATAACCGACTGTGGGCATAGCTCGGCTCAGAGGATGCACCAGCAGTATTTTTAGGGGGGTCTACATGACAGCTTTCTGCACTTGCAGCCAGGGCACTGAACGAAAGCCGCTGTTTTGCTAAGGAGAAGTGAGTTTAGGAACTCCATAGCTGTCTGCTCGGAGTTTCAGCTGAGTGACCCGTCCGGGCTGGGCCGTCCGGCCCGGCACGACTCACGTTCTTTGGAGAACAGCCTCTTCCTCCTGCCCTGCCCGCCGTCCAGGCCCCCGCCGGCGTCCTCCGCGTCCTCTTCGAACTGCACGGGCACAGCGGGGAGAGGCCGCGGTCAGTGCCCGCCGGGACCCGGCCCCTTCCCGCTGCACCCCGCCCGCGGCTGGCATGGGATGGGATAGGGACCACCGGGAACTGCAGCCCCTCCCGCCACTCACCGGCACGTCCTCCTCCTCATCGGCCATGGCTGCCGGGCTGCGCCGGAAGGGATTCCGGATTCCTGTTCCTCTTCCCCTTGCCCGGCCCCGCCTGGGCGAGCCCGCCGAGCTGTGGAGGGGCGGGCACGGGGCGGTGCTGCCGGGCGGGCGGGGCTGGTTGGAGCCGCGGCACCAGCCATTTACTGGGACAGATCTGGTGACCCTCCCCAAATCCTTAGTCGACGCTCATTATTGACTTGTCACATCAGGATATCGTGGGCTGAAAGCGAACTCGGGAGGTGTCTGGTCCATTTGCCTGCCTCAAAGAGGGTCAGCCGTGGTGTTAGAAAGGTCTTTTCTTGGTTTGCCTGTGTGGTTCGCATGGGCTTTTCCTTCCCTTGAGCAAGACACACTTGGCCCTGTTCGTAGAATCATAGAATGTTAATGGGTTGGAAGGGACCTTAAAGATCATCTTGTTCCAACACCCCTGCCATGGGCAGGAACACCTCCCAGCAGACCAGGTAGCTCAATGCCCCATCCAGTCTGGCCTTGATCAGTTCTTAACCCAGCAGAGTGCCCTGCCCAAGCTGTGAGCTGTCCGCTTTTCTAGGAGTATGCTCTGGGACACTGTGCCAAAGACTTAGCTGAAGTCCAGGTGGACCACATCCACAGCCTTCCCCTCATCCACCAGGTGGGTCACCTGATCATAAAAGATCAAGTTGGTCAGGCAGTACCTACTTCTCCTAAACCCATACTGGCTGGGTCTGATCCCCCAGACACGCTGTAGGTGCTGTGTGATTGCATACAGGATGATCTGTTCCAAAACCTTGCCAGGCACTGAGGTCAGACTGACAGGCCTTTAGTTCCCCAGATCCTCCTTCCAGCCCCCTTCTGGATGGGCCAAACTCCAGTCCTCTGGGACCTCCCCAGTGAGGCAGGACTGGTGATAAATGATGGAGAGTGGCTTAGCGAGCTCTTCAGCCAGCTCCTTCATCCCCCTAGGATGGATCCCATCTGAGCCCATAGACTTGTAAGGATCCAAGTGGCTCAGCAAGTCACTAACTGCTTCCTCCAGGATTACAGAGGAGCTATTCTGCTCCCTGTCCCTGTCTACCACCTCCAGAGGCCAGCTCTCCTGAGGATGATCTGTCTTATTATTGAAAACTGAGGCAAAGGTGTTAAGTACCTCAGCCATCTTTGGTAATTGTATTCTCCCCTCATGTCCAATAAAGAATGGAAGTTTTCCTTGCCCCTCTTTTTGCTATTAATTTATTTATAAAAATACCTTTTATTATTCTTTACAGAAGTGGCCAGATTAAGTTCTAATGGAGCTTTCACCTTTCTAATTTCTTTCTGCATGACCTAATGATATCCTTGAACACTTCCTGAGTTGCCTGCCCCTTTTTCCTAGCATTGTAAGGGGTTTTGTTCAGAAGAGGGTCTAAAACCAGAACTGCACTTTTTTACACATACAGGGTTATTTTCAGAGGCTCTCCAGTCAATAGGTGAGGCCTTGAAAATGACAGCCATGACAAGACTGATTTTAAGATACCAAGAAAGAATTTTTCCTAAAGTGTTCACTTTCACCTGTTCCATCTGTACAGATACTACTGCACTTCCCCTAGGATCATGCATCCCCTGGGCTGGTTTGCTCTGTAACATTTTGGGATTAGAGGTAAAATATTAAGAGATTTACAGGTTTGATTACTGTTAAAATGCAGAAGCTAGAGAGCCATGTCTTTCTACTGAATTTATCACATTCCCCACTTCTTACATGAGTGTTGAAAACAAACCTCACCTCACATCTAGTCTGAGAGTTACAAGAAGTTGCATAATGAAAGAGCTATAAATGTCACCTTCTCATCCTCAGAGTGGTTTAGAAAAAACTGTCATGAGGTTTAAACACTTAATGTAAGTAACTTCGAGAACTGCACACCCATATTTGGCCACGTCAAGACATGACAAAGTCTGAGTGCCAGAGTTCGACACAGGTACTTAATACCTTCGGTCTAAGTTCTCCTGCATGACTGCTGCTATTGACAGCTCTTCTTTCGTCTGACTCTGTACCTTGTAACTGCACAGTTTCAGGTGCTCTTAGCCAGGCACAGTTGGTGTGGGCCACAGTTCTCCGAGCTGCTACAGTATGCTTAAGGAGTATGGGACACATCAGTACTGTGCTTAAGCTGCCAGGGTAGAACAGACGCAGATAATGGACAACAGGTCTCAGACCTCGCAATTCATCCGAGTGCAGCTGCAGAACTTCATGCTGGATCGAGAACAGAGGGTAAATGCAGCACCGACTGATGATAATGTACAGAAGAAGAGGGTTCCTCTAGATGTCAGTCTTTCATTCCACTGTTTCAAACCAACCGTGATTGAAAAGTGGACCCCATCGAAGATGTGTCCTTTCCTTCACACTGGGACAACTCGCTGTATGCAAGCAAGGCATGCGATTTCGCTGCACCTACTGAACACAGAAAGTTACAAAAGTAAAACATACAAGAAGTTAAACACACCTTCACAGGCAGTAGGTTGGCTATTTCCACTCTAGATGGCCTCACAGCGGGAGGGTTGTACAAGTGGTAGCTTTTGGATCCTGCTATCCTAATCCTAACCCCAGTGATGTAAACTTCTGTGTACCATTCAGTTCAACTGGGCAAGTACAGTTTGCTTAATGTTAGGGCTATAGTTTTTCTGTGCTAAACTAAATGCCTCTTTATTAAAGCTATTACTAGACTATCTCTATATCCTAATGATAGCGGAATTTAGGCATGCAGTGGTATCTTTTTGAACATTTCAGTGGAGGGAGAGGAAATGCTGTATTAAAACTTTGCTTCTCTTTGGAAGTTCTCTACATAATCATGTAGGTTTCATAAAACAGTTTTATAACAACCTGGATTCACTCACACTGAAAACTTCCTGAACTGACCAACTCAATAAGCAAAAAGCTTAGTTTTACATGTATTAATTTATCCTAAATAATTTCTAGTACCTTTGGTTATTTACAACAAAAAAACACTGACCTTTTGTTCTGGATGAGCTGAGCAGATCAGGAGTCAGTCTTTTCAGCTGGTCTCTACAGCAGGGAGGTTTCCAGTAACATGGGCTACAAAACATCTTAGCAAGTGAACTCCTGAAAACTCCACAGAACTGTGGAAACAGAGGAATGGATATTTAGTGCCAGATAATGCTGTGTCTTCGAGTAATACAAGCAAACAGCCACTGGCTGTGTTCAATTACTCTCCCACAGTGCAGTACACCTTGGTATGAGCGTCGAGTTGGACTCCCTAATGCAACAATTACAGCTGCTGTTGTTACCAGAACTCCAAATAGAACAGCAAAGCCTGTTAACATCCAGCATCGGGATGCTGCCCACCTCCAAGAAAGGCCAAAGGAAGAAGCAACCTTGAAAATCTGCAGATGAGGGGGAAGAAGAAAAGGGATGTTTCCCCATCAGCAGCCCACCCTCCATCCTTGGTGCATAGAGAGGAGCTGCCTCTAAAGTGGACAAACCCATTTCGGTTTAGCTTGCCCTACTGAATTTATCACCCAAAAGGAAACAGCAGCAGGGAAGCAGAGCTTTACCTGACCAGGAACAGTTGAGGAAAGCATCCCTGAGTCTTCTCCTTGACAAATTCCTGGATCCCCAGTACATTCTTTAACAACAGTCCCCGGGGAGCTCGGTCAATTTTGGTTAACACCATCTGCGTGGATCCAGAAAGGGAGAATTAAAAGAGGAAAATAAGATTATTTTACTGCTAGTCTGGAACATCTGTAAGACTTCTGGACCATCCTGCAAGGCAGACTGAAAACTCTGGGTCACATCTAGGGGGAAAAATTGTCTAACACAGTTCACCAAAACACTTCTATAGCCTGCATAAAGAGCAGGCATTTTCAAGCTCCTCAAGCTGAGCACTGGAAAAAAAAAATTCATTTAATAAACAAAGCAAAAAAAGACCCCTTAAATCCCACTTGCCTCACTCAACACATTTTAGGCATATTTTATTAACAATAAAGGCTTATTGCCTGGATAGAACAACCTGCACATAAGCTCTAGTAGAGGGTACAAACCCTTATAGATAACCCATACTTTATAACCAACCCAAGAAAGCAGCATTACCTACCACATAAGGAATCCCAAACTCTTCCAGCATCTCCACTGCAATATGATCTGTTTTCTGGAGTCCAACTACACCATCAACTAACAGAAAAGTCCTCTTCAAGCTGCCAGAAAGACAAGCAACAGCAATTGCCACCATTATTTCATGCCTGCTCAGCTACTTCCAAATTCATAAGGAGAAATAAAAACGTGGGATCTGGGAAGAGTCAAGAAAAGCCATGCATGCAAGATGAAGGTCAGCATGGAGCAGCACCCTCTTTGCTGCTGCTTTGATCTGAGCATGAATGAATGACACTGCGAAAGCTCCCAGGGAAATTATGTCAGAAATAACCAGTGCTATCCTGGAAGCACCTACCCCTCTTCATTTTTTCACCTAATTACATGACACCGTATATAGGCATCTGGCATTCACTGCTGTGGAGGTACAGCTAAGTCCCTTACATGCGCCGTTCCTGCAGATAGGCCTCCACCATCTCCACAAAGTCTTGCGGGGCACGGTAGCCGTATCCTGGCATATCCACCAGAGTAAAGTACTTCCCTACTTTGAAGAAATTCATCTTCTTGGTGTGGCCCTGAGAAGAGGATTTAGGCAAGATGAGGGAAGGCAGTGGTTTTAAAAAGCTGCTCTAAGAAGTGTACTAAGAGATGCCCCACAAAATGTCCTATTACGTGCCCCTGACGCCCTAAAATGCTACTGTTGCTTTTAGCTGCCCAGTCTCCTACTCTTGTAGCAATCCTACATGGCTCTATCCATAAAACAGACTAAAAATACTGTCACAGGTGTCTCTGCTTCTTCTCAAAGGACTTAACAGCACGTCTGCTCAAGCTATGCAACTCCTCTGTCTGGCACACATGGCCAAGCCTGGCTGAAGAGCTAAGATGGGCTCTTTCTGCCTCTTCCTGCCACTGCCAGCCGTGAGCTCGTGGCCACCACAGCTGGCACATTCTCCTGCTGCTTCAGGTTACCCAGGAGCTTGTCCCCTTCCACCCTTCTCAGCCCTACTCTCTGGCCTGGCACCAGTTTCTGACAAAGAC